ATTGAGGGTCATGCTGTTGATATTTCCTTCTTCACCAACGCACTGAATACGACACATACCTTTTCCAGCCGATTTGGTCTTCATTCGATTCGCCAGCACGATGTCTTCGGAGACGGACTCGTCCAGTGACTCGAAAAACTCCTTGTTGACTGCCATGTGGGACGTTGCGCCAGAATCAACTACCCACAAGTTGACGTCACTGCCTCTGGTTGTCATAAAAGCATACTCGTCGGAACCGCTTCGAACTGCCTTCGCCTTCGTAGGTCTGCTGGCTTGCATCGAGTCATGTTTCTTTGGTGGTTCTGCATCCTTGCTCTGGGCCAGCAAACGACAATCCTTCAGCTTGTGGCCAACTTTATGGCAATGGTGGCAAACGATTTGCCTCTTCGTACCTGCTTTCAGTACCGAATGTGCACCACCGGCACAATTACGCTTCGCTACCTCGTCCACCAGCTTCGTCTTGACTAGGTCGAACGTTAGGTCAGCATCAGAACGGCTTTCCAGTGCCGTTGTAAGCGGATTGAAAGAATCCGGCATGCTTCGAAGGACCATCGCAACTTGCAAATTAGCATCCAGCACCTGGCCTGCTATCGACAGCCTTTCGAATAGATCTTGCATCTCGGTGATGTGCTTGTCGATTTCCTCCCCATCGGTGTACCGCATGTCGCAAAGTTTCTTGAGGATGGATACCTTCGACGTGAGCGTCGTACGCTCGTAGTTCCTTTTCAAGTTATCCCACGCTTCCTTTGACGTAGTGGTGTTCTGGATCAGATTCCGTTGGCTATCGTCCACCCAGTATTTTGCTTGTGGGTGAACAAAATCCTGTCGCGAACGGTTTGCTGATTTTCTTCCATCTCGACCGGAATCTCACTGACAATTGCACAACCAGTGGCGTTTCCTTAACCTCAATCTACCTGTGCACCAACTCTCAAAACATAAACAATTATCAAAATATTGCATGCTATGGATAGGTATCGAGTAAACTAGAAGATTAAGTATATTTTTCAACCGTATTTTGAGTATGAATATGGCATTAAATCTGTTTTTCCACAAACTGTGCACAGGTAAAAATGTTACGGGACGCCACTGCGCACAACTGAACGGCTGTAAACAAAACACTCTGAAGAGAATTGGGCAACATCTCACTCTTAACCTGTTTTAATTTTTTTATAACTCTAGTTGATTTCATTTTGATCGAGTCAACGGCTAACTGAACAAAAATGAGAACTAAAAGTATATGGAAGATTATCAAAATTTTAACTTATTTTGATATCAGTGAAAACTCATTGATAATTGATTCTGATATAAATATTTTGTTTGGATTACAACTTCAGTTATCACATGTTTGGCGAGAAAACATAATTAAAATACATCAAATTTTGTTTTCACTTCAAGTTTTTTTTTTATTTGATTTTGATTTTGCGAGACAGGAGGGGGGTTCTTATGAAAGCCAAATCTCAAGTCTCAAGACCACATTCCAGAACATGAGTGGAACATGTTGATCACGTCAATCTATAATGTCTGAAATGAACCAAAGGCCACAAACAAACCCCTAGAACGGCTCCCATACACTCTCTATGCTGAATCGTGAGTCCCATATAATTGCATGCAAAATTATAACCGAATGCAGGTCAATTGAATATGCCTTAATGAATTAGTTGCAATGATAGTATGAACAGTAATGACAGCATAATAATATATTGTATAAAATGAATCTTTACCTGTTAATAAAGATCGAGATTGGCAATAGCGCGATGGTATACTATTATGATGCTGATTAGACGAATCCTGGGAATGCGTCATCCTCTTCGTTAGAGAAACCTCTGAAATCCGGAATGTTCAGTTGATCACCACTACTTGAATCACTGAGAGTATCTTCCGAGTCTTCGTATTCTGATTCAACCATTTCTGTAAACAATCTTCTCGTGGCTGTTTTAAACTCGCTTCAGTTATTAGCCACCTCTTGCCAATAATCCACCGATCCACCGCTTCCTTCTACATCGTGCCTTGCGCTGGTATTCTATGTGAAGCATGGTTTTCCAAAATTCTTCTTCTCCGGCATCCCATACTTAAGGGCTTGGCTTTCCTCATAATCTGTTATGATGGTTCTATTTTTATGAAAATAAAATGATATTTTATCCATCCATCAAGGCTACATGTTGATCCAGCGTGCAGATAGTTAATATCGTTGTCTTCTCCAAAACTTCGTCGTCTTGATCTAGGAGAGAAAACCGTCACTCGATCAAGCCAAATTCAAAGGTAGTACCTGTGTGATGTCGCATTCTAAAAGTTTTGAACCAAATAAATATTTTTTTTGCAGCCATTAGACTCAATTCAAGCTGAACATTGCATTAGGTCCTAAGTAACATTGACAGATTCCCTTCGTCGACTTTCTCTTTGTATACCCACGGCCATGTTAAGACATTCCCAGGTATTTTCAGCACATAGATCGATAAAACAAGTTATTAACGAAAGAAAAAGTCGACGCAGAGAATCGATCAATGGTACTTAGGACCTTATGTTACTTGACCCAGCTTGAATTGTTTAGAAAAGTTAAAATCATTTCATTTTCATTTTCATTTTATGATGTACAAGGGGGTCAGGGGCCATGTCACCGATGTGAATATTCACACCATCCATAATACACCAGGGAAGGGGAGAGGAGTGAGCAACACAGCATCTTTACCCATGGGGGTTATAAAAGTTCTGCGAGGTATACTTATGGTAAACCAGCTGCTCAGGGATTGTAGAAAGGAAAGGGTTGGGTAGGTTTTGTGTGAAAAGCGCATAAGTTATTATCGTATCATTGAAAAATGGCCTCGTTTAGTTTGCGCTCCCGTCACATAGCGCATCGATTACATCACACCGTCAATGAAAAAGAAATTAAAAGAGATTGCTAGAGATTTTTGGTGAGTTTTAAACTGTGATTTACCTATTAGAAATACATTTGTAAAATTGTCTCCGTGTACTGAACAGCCATCCCTCTCGCCCACCCGCCGCCTAAACGTCTGAAGGAGTGTGACGTCAAACTCCGTCATCCATTTAATCAACCGGAGAACGAAAGAGCGTTCAATGAGCGTCAGCGACCCTAAAGGGTGGGGGGAGCACCATACATGAACGGTATCACAAATCGTGCCACCGTACCACATATTGTTGGAATGATATAACCCGAATAGGTTGTTAGGCATTCCTTATGGATATCGTTCATGCGGGTGTTTCAAAGCAATTGTGTGCTTTATCATGAGTGGTCACGGATCTGGCAATCTTCACATGACTATGCGTCCCGGTGACGACGCCTACGATCTAGCCGGTTTACAATAGGTGTTATACAAGAGTACTAGAATAGATCGGAGTATACTTACAGTTTTCGACGTTCCCATGTACTCCCTGTTTACCTTTAATCCTTCTTCCTTCTCTTGTTGTGTATTGTATTGTGTTTCTGGATATGCCACTTCTATCCTTCCTCTGACATAATGGATCCTCGCTCCGGAATATCTTCAAAACTGGGGGGATTAAAATCGCTCCTCGTACACAACCCTTCCAGATGACCGAAAGAGCGCTCGGTCCGATTGGTCTCACCCGATCAGAGGTGGCAACAGTACATTTTTTGAAAAACCATCGTCCAGAGCGAAACAAAACAGCCAGCACACGGGCGACCGTCTATAACTACATTCCAAGCGAACAGCGGAGATAGAGAATAAATAAAATCTCGCAGCCTGATTTTTCCAAACAGTTTATTGTAATGAAATTTCAGCTGCAGGCTTGCGTGTGACAGTAAATTACCAACTCCCTTATTTACGCATAATTTTAACATTTATGCTTATGAGTGGTCAGTCTTCATTCTTATCTTTTAATTCCATGCAATAAACATCAAATAAATGCAGTAATTAGCCAGAAATCAGCAAAATTCTACACGACATAAATTTATGTCGCGCGCGCCGCCGGTCTTGTCTGCTTCTTTGTGCGAAAATGTTCTGTCGCTGGCAGAAAACAGTTTAGAAATGTCATGACATTTTTGCCGCTTGCCAGTTTGTTTTTGTGTGTCGTCACAATGGTTATCGCAAAATGTATCAAATGTTAAGGAAAAAATGTTAAACTCCAGGACTCGTGCCACCACTGCACCCGATATTCTTGAAATACTTGACATTTTGAATGAAACATTGCCATTTCCAGACTTCGTGTTGTTAGTTTTCTTGAAGGTCTTGTGCTTAATGCTTGATTTGTCTTTCGCTTCATATTTCTAAGAATTGACTCTATAAATAGATAAAAAACAAAAACAAACACAACGCTTCCCACCCACAAGCTGTAGACCGAGTGCAGAATCTTTGTGATGATACTTTCCAAACGTGCATACCTATAGAAATAAATCCATTTCAATAAAGGATGGATTAAAAAACAAATGATTTCCACTACGACTGATCCAGCATTTCTACTAAAATATCAAATGCTGTGCTTAATCATTTATTTATTAGTACAGAGCAATAAACAATGTACGGTGATGATTAATCTGTTAATATGCTTTTATAAGCGGGTTCAAATGCACTTTTGGTAAGCATCAACACTGATCTGGCAACACTAGTGTGCATCTTTCCAATGTGGTAAAGATCCAGATCAGCCCTGGGACCTGGTAGCCTAATTAAACTACCTCAAGGTTTTGCCAAAGCCCAGGGTGTTTAGAAAAGTTAAAATCATAAATCTAAACTACACAATTATTATAATTTTGGTAGTTATCCCAACAGACTTTTGGTCCGCTACATCACAACTGGCATCACAAGTGTGCATCTTTCAAAATGTAAAGATACAGACAAGCGCTGGGACCTAGTTGCAGTTAAGCAATCCTCAAGGTTATGCCAATGCCCAGGGTATTTTGTTTTCACTTCAAGTTATTAATATATCAACAAACTGATATCAAAATTTGTATTCATATTGATGTTGAGAACACTATTTCATACCATTTCGTTATTATTTTGATTTTAGACTTTGTCCGTGATGGCTTCAAGTTATAAGTCGCGGGAAAATTTAAACAAAAATCCCGGAATTGGAAAAAAAACATGCAATATTACGGACATGGTTTACAAATTCATGACTAAAGGACATTTAAAAATTTTCGACCACTGTTTACAATGACTTTGGCCATTTTTAGTAGGATCTCTCTGTTACTTCTGCGGTGTTGTTTGAAAAGTGTCCGGAGGAGGTTTAATACTCGCCAACCCCCGTCCCCGCAAGTGTCTACGTGGTTTACTCCGCATGAGCCATTAAATGCTTTTCGTTTGCTTCTTCGGAAAACCCAAAATTAAATAACACATGTTTTACTTGCGTAACAAAGAAGATAGTATTCTCTTAAAAAATCGAATCCATTAACATTAACAAATTACGTCGTGCTAACTGAAATGTGAAAAAAGGAGGAAAAAACTTTCGTCCGAGTTTTCAAAAGCCATAAGAGTGTATGGATCTTTGTGTCCATAGTGTGTCAACTCGGATACATTACAGAATTTCAATAGTCATCGGGTTCGGCAAATTGAACACCGAACAGTGCGCCGCAAGCCTGAGCGGCGGCATTCCGGCGGGCCTGCTTCTTCGATGAAGCTTCTCCCTTGAATTCCTCGCCGTCGACAGTGAGCTTGTAGATAAACCAGGGAATGGCTGCACCCTGTTTCAGCTGCTGTTCCTCATATTTGGCCAGAGGTCGCATCTGAAATTGATAGTGCACGCTTTATAGTTAGACAGTCGATAAAAAGAGGATAGCGGTGGATACTTACGTAAGTAAGTAAACATGTTGGATTCATTTCGGGCGCAATTACGGGCAGATCTTCAACACCTCGCGTTCGTTTCGGCACACATCGAGGACCAGGAATTCCATCACCAACTTTTTTCAGCTTTCGTGCCTTTGGTCGATAATCCGGTAGCGTATACCCATCTATGGCCCACTGTTCCTGCAGTTTGTGCAGGGCATACGACACCACATGGTTCAGAGGAAAGTCATCCTGAGCAAAGATCACTTCTGCGTCGACATCCAGCTTCAAGGGATTGTCGACATTTGGGAATATGTCGGTAACAATTTTTCGCATTTCGCCCAACACCATATCACGGAAAATCTGCTCCGCTAGACGCGCTTTCACCAATCGACGGTTTTGACCGAGCGCATAGTAGCGAATGTTGTTAAATTTGACTATGCCGCTTTGTTCGTGGATGGGACTGTTGGGATCGAATATGATCTGTCCCAGAGGGTGACCACCATGTATTAATTGCAGAAGCGCCTGGGCAGTTCTGGGACGCAGCATGGAGGTAATCTCTCTTTGAATTTGTGGATCTGGTGTGTCCAGCTCGTCAGCGTCGTTGTCGTCGTCTGAAAAGATGGTTAAGGAAAAGTATGTGGTAGTGATGTACGGCTTCTTTTTACGTTCAATGTAGATTTATATCAATTCACAGTGGATGGAAGGGATAATGAATGCAATGTCGGTCTAAATGCCCCTAATTTGGCCCATACATAAATTCAGCAATCGACTAAAAATATGCATTAGTACCGTCCCAATGACGCGTTCATCTAGATAAAATTGATAAATAGCAGATTTTTCCATAGGCCAACATTAGTGCCATTTCCCGTATTTACACCTATTCTGGGCGATGAATGAAACTATTATATGTAGCCGTTAAACAAAACAAGCATCTACGTCCTGACCCTGAGCTGCTTGGATAACAATAATGTAACTCAGAATGCATGAAATTACACTTTTTGCTACAAGGTGAATCTTTGTCATAGACGAAAAAATTAATGAGATTTTGACAAAGGTTTTTTCGAGGATCAAGTCTATCAGTGACTAAGTGAATAACAGTTTTGTCAATATCGCGGGAAAGTCTATCAAAGACAATGACAAATCTCGGCACTGATACTGGCTGCTTCCGTTCCTTCCGCTTGGGACAGGAGTTCATCCGATAACCCTCCATCGTACAAAGACAACACATTTTTTTGTTCTACGATCCCTTCCGATAGAGGATATGCTGCGAGTTGGGAATCTCCTTTTTTACGTCCACGTAGATTCTCCGTACACCTGTCAGCATATCGAGGCCCAAGACAGCCGGAAATTTCTCCCGTACTACACGCTTTACATCACCGTATTTCCCTAGCATCAATGCTAGATCGCTATCCGGGATTTCTGGTGGTAGGTCGTAAACTCTCACATACTGAACGGTATGTAGATAATCGAAGTAATTCCGGTCAAAGTTATGTGAACAATAGGGTGGACGAAAACCACCTATGTTTTCACGTAAATCAAACGTGAAGATTTTTCAAAGTGTAGCCAAATGAACTGTCAAAATTGCCCATTTTTTTGGTTGTAACAGGAAGAAAGAGAAAGAGCTTAAGGACAAGGTTGATGGAATCCACAAATGGCCGTTGTCAAGGCGGATTTGCCTTGTTCTATCTATCTTATTTTATATCTTTATTACGGAGACTTTCAGCCCTGGGTTGGTTCACGGTTTTAAAGCATGCTACAACAAGTCTAAATCATAGTCTGCAGAACCCTCATAGAACCCCCATTGCTACTTGGGACATTTATTGATCGGGAAAAAATGGTTACAATATTTCGTTGACTGCAACCCACTTCGAGAAATTGTATAAACTCACAATCACAACCCATCCTGAGCATTTTTCATGCTCCTTTAAAATAAAACAAATAATGTTTTACCGATCCCATAAATTTGTCTCGAAAAATTATTTTTTATTTATTTTACAGTGAACCAGGAGTTCAGAAAAACCAGGAAAAAGGCGCGAATTCGAAATCGCCGGGAAAAAATCGGGAAAAGTCGGTGAATTTCGATGACAAACCGGGAAAAATAAGATTCTGGACCTTTAAACAATTGCAAGACCCCTGGACTGGAAAATGGTTTTCAGGATACAAAATATTGAAAATATTTTAGGATGAATTCTGCACATAACAGCAATGTTTTTTAGAGAAAAATATCAATAGATCTTTTTTAAGAACTCTAAGAAAGGTTTCACTAGAACTCCCAGTCATTTGTGGGACTTCAGACGTTTAGATTAGAATCGTTAGGTAGTTCTTTTGGAAAATTCATGACGATTGTGGAGTGGATTCCCGGGTCATTTCAAATGAATATTCAAAATAAGAAAAATAATGGCGATTCGAAGAAAATTCTTTGAAAATTTAAGGTAATAGGGTTTTTTGATCTAATTTCCGTCCTACTAAGCACAACCCGCGTTTTACCTCTCTTTTTTGAACGAGTTTGAACCAAAAATAGAATATTTCTGACAAAGATGACTTCTAAATTTATTCACCCTTCCGTACGTACCGTTGGATGTGATAAAGAGTCACACATTGTTGAGATATTGTTCAAAATCTAATACTGCTTCTTGATTCTAAATTCGTCCTTCGAGTTTGAATTCCGTCCAAACGCATTGAAACGCTATTAGATTTTCTTCGTCATACGGATAAACGTAGAAAAAGGGGATTATCTAGGAGCGCTTCTTTTGTTTTGAGAACAATGAGCGTAAATATTCATACTATGCGCTCTAATACGATGTATGTTGTGGCTAATGAACTAACGCATCGGAACAAACCTATTATTGATTAGTGCACGGTGAAATCATTGATAAAATTATTGATCTTTTCTGATCGATAGAACGGAAATGGGCGATTACGACGAAGTAGCGCTCTACCGTATCAAGTGAACTCTAAAGAGAGTTTCAAGGATCTCACGATATATACCAAGGGAATAGAATTTTGAGGGAACAATTCCAAAGGAATTCTGAGATGAGTTTTATGAGAATTCCGAGTTTAATTCCAAGAGCATCTCGAGAAGAATTCTGAAGGGTATTCTGAGGAGAATTCCAAGTGAATTTTCAGAATGAATTTAGTGGAGAGCTCCAGGATAATTGTGAGCAGAATTGTATGACAATTCTTAGGAGAATTGCATGAAAATTATAAGGAATATTCAGACTAATTCTAAATAGAATGCAAGGAGTGTGTAAGGAAGTTTCAGTAAGTTTTTTCGAAACGAATCTTAGGATGAATTCTTCGATCTCAGAACAACCGGGAATATCACCAAAATTCCGGGAAAACCGCGGGAAATTTCAAATTGGGATTTGCTGGTCACCATGATTATGGCTAATGCAAATTTGATGATGAAACGATTTAAAAATCGTTTTCTACTCTGCGCTTTATCCTTAAAGTACACAAAATATTTTATGTGTTATTATTAATTTATGAATTTATCATTAAATGAGTTGCTTGTACGTAAATTTATTTCATTTTCGTTATTTAATATTTGCCCCTCCTCGACCTATTTGAGTGATGTCGGACATAAAATGAAAATATTATTTGCATCACCTTTATACCTTATTAGGTAATCAAATAATAATTATAAGACAAATGTTGCCATTTTTTAGACTATCAATTTTAAAGACCTCGGATATAGAAACTTTTGAAACACCTCAAATTGCTCAAGGACCTACACTATTTTTCTAGATAGCGGTCCAAGAAGAAATCTCATTATTGTGAAACGAGGAAAATTTTCCAAGATGAAAAGATCGTGAATGCACGCGGCAAATTAATCTGACTCATATTTGAGTCAAGTTCGGCATGTTTTTCAATTAATTTTTTTTCAAGGAAAATGAATAGTAATGCGCCTAACTCTTTGGGATTCTTGTTTATTGAACATTAAAGTTTACAAATAATTTTTTTTCGACATAAAAAAAGACATTATTGACGTCACAAAATGGCGGCAAACAGACCCCTGTTCGCCGCAAACGCCTGGACGGGCGAAGACTTTTCTCTGGAACGGCTTCATCTGAAACAGATTTCGTGATGAAATTAATAATCTGCATAAGATTCTCTGGAGCTTCTCCCGTTGGCAGCAAAAAATCTTGCAAATTAACAAAATGGCGGCCATATGAAAAAACAGGCGATTTTTAGCCCGCTTTTTTGCAGCTTTAAGGTGCTTCAAACAATGTTAAATGTTAATATTTTTGGCTGAAAGTGGGAGAAGCTCCAAAGAATTTAATAAGGAACAAAATGCGCAAAGATTCAAGTCAATATATCTTATAGTTTCTGAGAAAAATCTTCGCCCGATAAAAAAAATGTGGTTTCGAGAAAAACGCGTTTAAAGTTTTGACTTTAGTTAAAACCATTTTGGGGGTTCTTACCATTAGTCAGCTATGCCTGGACACCGAATTCGCTAATCGGAAAACGGCTTGGGGGGATGAAAGTATATAGTCTAAAGTACAAAAAAACGTGAAAAAAAAAATTTGATTTTTTGAAAAAAAAAGATCGGGAATACCCCCTTAAATTCGCAAAAACGTAGGTCACAAGAATGAGAAATTTTTTACTCAAAGATGCGTAAATGTCACTCATATATGAATAAATGGTAATTGTGGGTTCGAATCCCACCGGTGCCCTTAGATTTATTCGCAAATTTTCTCACACACACGCAGTGTTCTCAAATCTCATAAATTGAGTCTCCTTGCGAGAGTAAACTCGCGTGCGAATGTGGCAAACAAAATTCACGCTTGAGATATTCATGCATATTCACGCACTCACACTCACAACGTCGAAAACATTCCTCGTCGAACGTTCGACAGAGCAAGTTTGCTTACGCTACTCTCCCGCCGCCGCAAAAGTGTTTTTCGGAAAAAAGTGGATTTTTTTTCTCTCCCCGATCCGGGTTTTTTTTTTTACACCTTCAGGTGTGCAGTGCCACAGGCGGACATAAACGTTCCCCGGAGGAAGCAACCATCTCAGCCGAGTCTGAAGATTGGATTGTCCAACGGTAAAACTATCAACCACCACCTAGACATCGCATCATACGGCATCAAAAGGTCATCACCCGTATACACCGTACAACGAAGCAGCAGAACTGCAGATACGGTCTATACAGACCGGACGGTGCCCTTTGTGCTAAGCCACGTGCTGCAACAATAGAGCGATCATCTCTGCTTCATCGCACAGTGGAGTTTGTAAACGCGCCATCCCGGCATATAGAGATAAGTTAATTTTTTTCTCAGCCTAATTCTTTTTTTTTTTTTTTTTTTTTTTGTAAATAATTTTTTTTTGTTTGGTTTTTGATTTGCTAATATTAAGTAATCCCCCTGCAGCGTTGAATTTCCTTTCTTACAAATTATTATTTTTATTATTATTCATTATCTTATTTAGTTTTTTTTTGCACATATTTTATTTTATTTTTATTTTTTTAACACTGAGCAATTCACTCACAGTGTTGACTTCCTTTTCTTGTTGTTTCCTTTCCAATTTCAATCCATATATTTGAAATTTGTGGAAAATATAAACATTTAATAACTAAGATTGCAACCAATTCCGTTGCGGTGGTATCTTAAGTCACCGCAATGGATG